ACGTGACAATTAAATTTAGTTCCCTCCTCGAGCTCTCGTAATTAAAGCTCCACGAATTATCCCATCGACGAAGGAAGTTGCTGCTCTTTTTAACGGACGAACTGGCCGAACACGAATCCTGGGCGAAACAGGAGTTTGACGGGAGTTGGGCAGTTCGTTTTCGAAGAAGCACGTGCTAGTCGTTTCTCGCTTGTACCTATACGCGCGCGCTCGCCAGCTGCAAATATCCTGAGAGAAGAAGTGCACGCGTGCACGCACGGGGAGAACACGCGGCCCATCTGGCGCGTGCGTGACCTCCTTGAATTATCCTGACAACTTTCGCTGCAGTCCAGCCTCCGCGCGTATCCTTGCGCGGTCTGTCTTTTTGCCGCGGACGTTAGAGCGAGGGACCAACGAATCGACGGAGCCCTCGAGCTGTCGAGCTGATCAAATGTTGGTCCTCGCTGGTTAGAATTTCGGCGTTTGAATTCGAGGAAGATCAATTCTCGGAATGATCGTTTGGTTTGCTCTCAGACAGCCACTTAATATATTATTACGTGATTTTATAATTTATAATTAAGGAGTACAGAGAGAAAAAGAAAGAAAATCTCTCATCGACAGAAAGATTATATTTATTTAAGATATTTTACGCCTATAAAAATGTTTCACATTAATTTTAATCAAAGCAATATATACACATATGCTGTCTCTCTTTGTTCGTTATTTTTATAAAGATAAAAATAGTCGCAGCCTCTCTCGGGTTGAATCTTCTCCGGCGACGAAAAGAGAGTCACCCCTCTCTCTTCGCAAACGGGACCCTATCGATTAACCATGCCCTAGGCGGGTAGTCCCGCCCTTCCGCCCCGTTCGCATCTCCCCGCGGGAACCTTTCCACCCTCCGGCCACCCCTTCGCGTCGTGGCGTAAAGAGACGGAGGCACCGGGTGTCACAAAAATAGAGACGATAGGGTGGCCGGCCACCCTTCGGCCGCGCCGACCAATCGCGCCGCGAGTACGCCCAGTGACGTCATTTCCCCTCTCGTGCCCCCATCCTCGTGTCCTCCGTAATTAGCCAATCCGATCGCAGGGGTGACTCGACTCACCCCTTGGCCGGATTACATTTACGAGCCAATGATTTTTGCAGCGCGATTTGCGTGTGCGTGCGAGCGTGCGTGCGTGCGTGCGTACGTACGTGCGTGCGTGCGTGCAATGCATGCGTGCGTATGTCCAGATTGCAGACGGAGAGGACAAGAAGGGCACACAATGGTGCACACCCTTCGCGCTCCCTCCTCCCCTTTCTTCCTCCCTTTCTTCTCGCTACGCGAGATTCTTTGTCCCTCGCGTTCCCTATTTACGCCCGTTCCTGCCTTTTTTACTTTGGCGCTCTGTAACACAGCCCCCTCGACTCACCCCCCTCCCTCCCCCACCTCGCCCTGTTCGAGGTCCTTTTTCGCTTCTGGTCTCTCTCGCTGCAGATATTATTTACATGACAAACGTCGCCGATCGTCGTGAACGCGGATCGCGTGCACCGCCGCGCATCGCGTGCACGCTCTGGGTGAGAAATACCTTCCGACTTTCGCCAGGCTGCAGGATCGCGATTTCGTTGAAATTTCGACGGGTGATGGACATTTCGGGGACAGAAAATCCGTGAAGTCTCTCGAAAAGACTGAGAATTCTGCACAATTGTAGTTATAAATTACGAAGAGGAATTGCGGGATTAACGAGCGAGCATAATTACGGTGCCTTGAACCGCAAAGTATTTACCACAGAAAGCTAAGATTTATGTATTGTTACAGAATTATGTAATTTAAAGTAGTAACGTGAAGTCGTACACGAAAATGTTTTAAAAAAAACTGTTTAAGGCATGTCTAAGTCATGTTTTCTATTTTCACATCCCATTTCAGTTTCTATATGTTATACTCGGGACATATTTTAAATATTAAATTACATTTGCGCATCTGCAACAGCAACAACGAAGAAGCTCGCGAAATTTCCACCGAACTCTTGTCCGCCGCCTGTGGGAAAGTGTGAAAAATTATCTGTATACTCAAAAAATGAAATACGTATTATATATCCACATTCGTCGCATTCCTGCCGGCAAACGAGGGGGAGCAGGTTCCCTCGGAGGAGAAGAAGAAGATCTCGACAAGATAGCCATTACGCGCGATGCACCGGGAACGATGATGAAGAGCGTATAGGCTGACTGTGAGGGGTGGAGGAGCCCGCCGCGTTTTCTCTCGTCGACGAAGAAAGGGAATCAAAGGCCGGCAGAAGGCCGCTTTCAACGGCATATACGGCCGACAATGCCTGGACGCGGAAGCTGCGCTCCACGTCCCTGTCTCTGTCGTGTATGTGGATCTGCCGTCGTATCGGTATCGCTTTCCGCCCGGGCCCGGGATAATCCGCTTACGTCGGGGTCCGGCCTCCTTCTCGTCTCCCTCCTCCTCCGCCTCCTCCTGCTTTTCCTCGTAACGGCGGCATTGTTGCCGGCGTATTGTGAGAAAACAGCATTTTCGACGCTCGAGGTGGCGACAAGAAGAGGACTTAAACTCATCACCGTCACAACAATCGGCACCGCACTGCGTGGGAGGACACCGGCCGATGCACCTGACGTGCGAGTTTGCGTGTGCGTTGCACCCTCCCGGGGGTGCCTCCTACGCAATTTCTCCTATGCGGGAATGATAATAATTTTGGAGAGATCGCGGGAACCGCGAAAGCACCCTCTTAATCTGGCATTATTACTTAACGCGAGGTATGATGAGCACGCAAACGAGATATTATAAACGTATAGCGTGATTTTCGCAACTGCTGTGCGTCCGTCATTGTAATACAAGAAAAGTTTTAAAATGCTTTTGGCAATTTTGTTGACATACCTAATTTGATTCTGAAAACAAAATTTAATTTAAAATATTATAAAAATTTCCTATTACGATTTTTTAGCTTTTATGTATGTATTCTAATTTTTTATTTTTTATGTTATATATATAATATAATAAAAAAAATCTCGTGACCTGATTCTTTTTATGAATTAATTCTCGCAGCAAGGCTCAGACCGCGCGATATCGCGGTGCCGCATATCTCGATGAAGGGTTGCCGGCCGGCGTGGACACCCCGACGGGGAGAAGGGCTCGTATAATCCCATGAATACATAATCCAGATGCAAACAGCCGCCACGCGTGCCTCGATTTAAACGGTCGCGATATTTCACGGATTATAACGCGAATATTTGCACTATTTTTCACGCCCGAGATTCCGAGTGCCGTTCCATGTAACGGTGTTCTCGTTCCGGCGATCTCAATCCTTTCGTTCCCACATTATTTCTGAATGTCAAAAACGGTGCACAAGTTTTATTATTTTAACGGTATATCTACTCGGCAATTCAGTGGCGCATCGATCTCTATTTTTCATTTCTTAAGACTTTCTTGGATTGTTTAATTTATTATTATATGCAGATTATAAATTTCGAGAAAATCGTACGAGTATAAATCAAAAGATGTATATTTAAAATTATTTCTATATCGAAAGATAGCTTTACAATTCAGCGTCAATTTGGGCGTCAATTCTTAACTTCTCGCAAGAATTTTATAGTTCGTTTTCGAATGAAGAGAGTTATATAATATATGTATAGAATATATGTAAAGAATATATGTATTTTTATATATTCTATGTATTTAATATATTGTATTTCGCAATTGTGTCACGTTCGCGATTGCATGGAGCAACAAGATTGATTGACAAAAATCGGGCTTTAAAGGGCGACGCAGAGCGCCGATGCAAATACAGATAGTCCGGCCTCGCGGCTTTTTTTCACGGGATAAGCGAACGGGAAAAAAAACGTTGATGGATGAGATCGGATTATCGACTTCTTCGAGCCACACAAAAAAATCTCGCCGGTAGATAACTACGATGATTCGAAGAACGACATTAGCAAACTGTCGTTCAGAACCTTTCATCGACCTTTTTATTTTGCTTTCCTTAAATATTTTAGAAACTGATCGGTGAAGAGGCGGTAAAATAGTTGACACAATAGTTTGAATTTTTGTCAAAGGGTATATTATTATTGCAGTTAGCGCGTACACGGCTGCAAACAGGATGACAGACTTAATTTAAAATAGATTAACACGCGTACAACGTAAATCGTACAAAGAAGGAGCTCTATGATAATTATTAATAATTATTAAGGCAGTTGGGCGCGAATCGTCCCTTCCTGGACGATCTCCCATTGTCGATCACGAGATAATTAATTAATGACGAATCTATCTAGGTCAATTAGATCAAATGACAAGATCGGAGTTTCGTTATGTACAACGTATTTATCCTAAATATCGAAGCGGATCTCGCTAGATGAAATTAGCACAGGCAAAAAATATACAGCCAAGCAGACCGAAGGACTCCCTTTCGTTATCCTTCTTCGAGTGCTCCAATTTACAGAATATTTACAGTATTCGTCCCAGCTCGTCGAGCGAAATGTATGCTGAATTCGTATTTGCACATATGAAAACAAAGATTCCGCATTTTTCATGTAAATGATGAAGTATAAACGGATAGACAAACATGTGATTACGAATATCGGAATAATATCGGAGATATCTGCGCGAGTACAAAATAGATATAGAATCCCGATAGAGAAAAAATAGAACATATTTACAATGTCGATATCAAAAGTGCTCGTCCATCTCTTAAAGTCGCTTTCCAAAGTTATATTTATATTAAGAATTATAATATGTAATTAAAATATAATTCTTAATATATAGTTTTATAATTAAGAATATATATATTAGTTATAGATTGCTTAAGTGCCAGTTCTTGTCGTGAAGTAGACAGAGGTATATCTTTAATGAAGTAACAGCCGACGCTCATACATCGCGGATGTAATATTTTTCAATCAACGTTATCACATCTCTTAGCGTACGATAACATTCGGAATTGTGTAACGTAATAACGAACGCCTACCATGTCTATGTAAAAATGACAAAAGGAAATATAAAAGAAGGGAAATATATAATAAATAACACAAAGGGATAGAATAAATAACACAATTTATTATTATACTCCCGTTTAAATAACACAATCGGCGCAAATAAAAATTGAGAATGTTAAAATAAAACAGCGATAACGCGCGGTAGACTAATGTGTATCGGGTAAAACAGTAATAAAATTTGTTATCTAGTAAAAGTAACATGGATAAGATGGTACAGTGACGGACCGGAATTTGCCAGACGCAAATTCCGCGTTCGGGATCGTTGTGTCGTTGAGTGACAAACGATCGCCGGCGCAAAACTCGGGAGCAAAAGTCGCGCACGCCCGAGACGATCCTCGCTCTCGAGACCGTGAATCACGATCGATATCACGTAACGTATGAGCGTAAGCTTAAGCTAAAATCGGTAGCGTGCGAGCGTACCGTTCGGAGCGATAAGTTACAGGAGGCATTCGAAGGACGCACGCACACGCAGAACGCATTCTCTCTCTCTTTCTTTCGTATTTTTTTTCTCTCTCTCTCACTCTCCCTCACCCTTTCTCACTCCCTTACAAAAATAAGTTGGACGGAATAAGGCAACGAGTATCCTCGTAATTTTCTTACCCCCGTTTCGAGAAGGCGATTAGGCCGTCCGGTTTGGAGGCTTTTTGAGCTCCTCTTTCCTCGCCATTTCCGCGAAAAACGCTTGGCAGACTGCAATTCGAAAGTCTAATGCCTAAGTCTGTGCTAAGGGTGCTAGTCCGATGGCTTTAAGCGTGTGCAAGGTGATATCTCGCGACCGGAGGACAGCGCGAAAGTATCGAGGAGATGAATTATATAATGAGAGAAATTACCCGTATAAAAATAGAAAACAAACCTCCTTTCACTTTTGCCGTCGAATTCTCTTCCGCTTTCGAAGAAAAAAATAGCGGATCTTCTCTTCCGAATCTGACAATTCCTTACTGGCTCTATCTCGAAATTCCGTCCGTTCTCTTTGATTTCTGCTTCTTGCGCTAGAATTATTTCTCTAAAGTGTTTCAGCGTCACACGCGAGCAAATCGACACGAAATTCTATTCTCTTTGACGCGGCGATTCTCTTTTACATCTGCGTGGATTTGTAATGGAAATCCTTTTTCCAACGCGAAAGGCGCCGGGCAGATATTGTTGGGGAGATATGTGGCCTGTTTTTTATAGCTGAACTGCTGCACTAGTTCACAGTTTATCTTTCTCTTTCTACATTGGAAGAAGAAAGATAAATTCTGAACTAGTGTAGCCAGTTCAGCTATAAAAAAACAGACCTATGTGGTAGCGACGCACTGTACAAAATAGAAACAAAAAAAAAAAGAACACGTGAGACGTAAAATTAACGAAAGGGTCGTACGCTTTATTACATAATACTTCGAGGCAACGTGATGAAAGGTTGTAATATCTGTATCTCTTGGGCACCGCTTCGCCCCCACGTTTGTGCAACGCACGGCACTACTCTTCCTCGAGGACGAGAAAACGCGAATGTATAGGATCCCGCTACGCTAGGAGGACGAGCTCACGATCGAGTATTGCACTATGTATGTAATAAATAATCCTCTATTGGCAGCAACGTCAGGATCGCCTCCCGGCTACGTTGGAAGGGAAAGCTGAACGATCGACTTAACTAACAGAAGACGTGACGATCGACTAAATTAACAGAAGACGTGTGATGATGATCGACTTAATTAATGATTTAAATAATACATAAAATCAGCGGTAAAAGATTAAATATGACGACGACGATAACAAAAAAAAAAGAACATGTATATGCGAAGAGCCTCCCCCAGTCACAATTATCTTGCCTCGATCTCTTCTGATTTATCATCCGTATTTTCGGATAGCGACCCGCCCGACACGACCACCGGCACACAATTCCGGAATATCTAGATTATTAAAAATCGTAATATACGAAAAATATCGTCGCGACGAGATTTAAAGAGGCAGTGAGCGACGTGAATCCTCGCCGTAAATTGAATTCCAAAAATATTTCGCAAAGCGGACACTCATTAGGCAGTTAAGACTCGGAATTACTAAAAGTCAGCTCAGCGCAAAATGCGCAAGAATGTGACAGAGTTCCCGTATAAAAAATACTTACGCGATAAATACTGTTACGAATAATACTGATCCAATTTTCGTCGCGACGCCGCACACGTGAAATACGAAAATATGGCCTATTCTTCTCTTTTGCGTTACGTTACGTTCGACGAGTGCAACGCGTAAATTATTGCTCGATTCCTCTCGCGCGATCACCGCCCTTCAATCTGTCGCGACGAGGCACGATGAAATTGCAAAACGCGAAGAGATCGCAAAACGAGACAAAAAATTATCTTACAAAGTGCGTATTGTCTACACTCTACGGGGTGTATTCCTCGCTCCTCCGTACCCTCCGCGTGCTAATTAAAAAGGTTCATTTGACACAAAAATAGAGTATAAAAAATTGTTCGAAAATGTTCGGAAATCTTTAAAAATGCACTTTTCTTTTATAGCGCGTATATAATAACGACACCGCATCCGATGCTTTAATCAGCGACACATTTCTGTATTCAGTTCTTTGAAATATTGAATATAATAAGAAACGTCGGGACGAAATGCAGTCTATGATCCGCGGGCGCTGCATCGTAGAAAATAATTTAAACGTAAATATAAAAAACGAATCGTTGACATATGCGCTTTCCCCGTTCCAATTCTTTCAATCCGTCCTTTTTTTTTTGGCGCGTACAAGCTCTCGCTTAGGCCCTCTCGCACTTTAACACCTTACGACTCTTGTCTCCGTTGGGGGATCAAGGTATCTACGCCTATCGTTAGAGTTGCTTTATTAGTAAACGGACGCAAATACCTCTCGCAAAAATACAATTTCTCTCTCGTACGCTAGGAAAGGTCGCGTTACACGTCTCGTTATTCGCTCTAGTCGTTATTAATCATCGTCTCCGCGGAAACTTCGAGGCCGAAACATCCAGCCGAATTACGATCAATAAATCTGTGGCAAGAAGGGCGCAATACATCGTTCACGCGTGAGACTTCACTTTGTGCTGCGCGAACGAACCGAAGCGAACCTCGCTCGGAACATTCCTCGGCTAATTCCTGTGCGAATTGAATCGATATACTGACGCATCGGGATTTAGCGAATTTTCATTGTTCATTCTTGCTCCGTTACTGCTCTGTTTATGAAACTAAAGATTTTTTTAACTGACGCACGTAGAGATACTTCCAATGGAAACGGCGAGTCCAATGTTCGTACTTTTCTCTCGCGAATCATTCCGTTTAATTTAATTTTTTCTTTAAAAACTCCGATATGTGATGTATCTTTATTGTTTTAAAAATACCATATTAATAACAGGGATATACTTCTAGACTTTCTAAAAATAATTTAATTTAACCGATTTGGATTTAAGGTGAGAAATCCTAAAATATATACCTTTGAAGATTTACGCGTTTTTTAAAAACTGGTAAGATCTCAATCCTGATGTTTCAGTATAATATTAGATATGTTTGGCGACAATGTCTTTCCACCGCTTTCCCCCGCCTCTCATTTAACTCCGCAAAAACTTTTCTTCGTACAGATTTCTTTCTTTCCTTGCCTTCATCGATGGTCTCCTTTTTCTCTCTTCGTTTTTTTTTCCTATCAATGTTGACAAGTCGCGCGATTCGTCCGACCATTCGACGACTGAGTAACGAACATTTCGCAATTTTGTCCGCTTTCTCCGAGAATCGGTGCGCGACTGCGGGGATGACAACGACGAGGAGAAGGCGATCGGCGAGCGGATTGACCGAGGACGATGGAAGAAGTGCGGTGGCGGCATCATCGAGAATGTGTTCTCATGGACGTTTCTTCGACGCCATGCTTTTTGCTACTCCTCGACGAAGTTTGGCTTCGCTTCGCACTTGGCAGCCACAACGCGACCTTCGTTCCACCCACTGTTAAACCGATCATCGGGAGGAAACCAATGAGTCGTCGATCGACGACGATACTGGCGGTCGAATTCACGAGGGTCTCAGACGACGCCGCTCTCGAGGTCACTCGAGGCTCCTGATGAGCACCGCCAGTTCGCGGAACGAGGCGCCGAGTTTACCGGGCGTCGATTGCTTCTTCAGCAGGATCGCTCGTATCGCCGAGAGCTTCTCGTAGCAGGATAGGCACTTGTGGTACCTGGAAAGAGAAGGAGAGAAGTGGCTCGTGAAGGTTTCGTGCCAAAAACAAAGCGACGACAATGTTATCAATATATCAATATCCAGAAAATATTATCCTGTTTTTTAGCATTATTAAGAACAATATTTAAATATGGAGGTTTTTCTATCGCAAAATTCTTGATATACTAAATATATCAATAAGATGAATTGATAATTTATCAATTGATCGTTTATGAAATCAGTGAGAGAAAAATCTCTAAATACAACATAATAAATAGAACTCACCGTTCCTCTCGCGACACGTCGACGCCGATCGTGTGAAGGGGTGCTTCCACATTGGATTTTATCACTGGGGCAAAATTACGAAGGATAAGTCTCAATGCCGAGCAAGCTACCGTTATATACCTGAAACAAACCCAATTTTGGCAACAATTAATAATAATAAATTATATATATCATACAAATATTAATTTAAAAAATATTACACGCAGATTGAAGATAATATTTTCACGTTCCAATTAAACCAATATTGAATCTGCTCGAATAATTTATCATATTTTATCACATAAAATGTGCCTGTGTATATTAAAATCTAAAATGTCTACAATTGAAAGAAATAAATTATGAATGAATTGAGAGCTAAATGAAACAATAAATTAACTATATACTTTAGCTATTTTAATTAAAAAATAAATATAAATTATTTATTTTTTAATTAGAGGTATTATGTAATTTACAACTCGTTTGTCTGGGAACGGTTCGGGCGTTTAGGATCAAAACAATCGTAGAACGAGGATGGTAGCCCGTCTCGCAACACTGGTCCGGTCACGCCTGGTCCGTTCGGTAAAACGAGCGTTATTAGGCTCTAACGACGCCAATAAATAACGAAAGGCACGGAAGGCCTTGCCAGCACGATTCAGCACGCTCTCGCTTTCGGACTGACGGGCGATAAAGGGTTCGAGCTCCCGTTCGAATCGGCGAGACGAATCGCGAACGGCCTCATGAATGCAACGAGCGCGATGCCGATCGACAATACCGCGTGTAATGCACCGTACACCCAGTGTCGCGGCGGCTCGAATTTTATGCGACTTGTAACAAAATGTGAAACCGATACGAGAATAGTCAAGTCGTAGACTTCGGAAAGAAAAGGTAATTTTAATTATTTTTCAAAATAAAATAAAAAAATAAGTTTCATGTTGTAGAGAGATGTCGACTTAAACTTTGCAAATTAATTAATATTCGATTTATTTCTATCGTTATTTAATCAATGTAATAATTAATTATAACAAATTAATGTTTCTAATTTCATTTATGAATTTAATTCCCCTATACTTCGCCAAATAATTTTCAAAGTTTTACAGCAAGAAAAGTGTTTTTCTTTCCAAAATCAGCGGAGATCCATGGGGACGGAGATAGGCAGTAAAGGGGGGAAACAGAGGGGTGCGAGAAGCGATCGCGAAATTGGAAAACGATCGGGCGGGGCGCGAACCCTCCCCTGACACGTGACACGCGTCTAGACATTCTGGCCCGGCGATCTCTTTTTTTTTCTCACGAGGCACCGGGTCCAGGACGAAAGGCCGCGACGAATGAGCCGTGAAAATGACGAGCGAGCTGTATGCAAACTGCCACTACATAATAAGTCGTCCGAGATGTGTATATTTGCCCGCGTCATCGATTTTGCGAAATGAGGGTATATATAAGCAGTCACCGCTCCTCGAAAAGCGCGAGTCTAATGAGCAAGAATGCGTGGCTTCCTCGTTTACGTTTCGCTACATTCTACTGTATCTCAGAAATATATTTTAATGAAGACTATTCAGAGTCGATTTTTGTACGATAATTAAATAGAAAGCTAGTTAGATAGTTAAAAATAATTTAATGTTCAACGTTAATTGCTAGAATAATTAAATAAGTAGTAAAAACTTTCGGATAAAGGCCAAGATTATTCTATTGTCAGCAAAAAGCTTTAACTTTTATATATAATCATGTTGTATTAAATTTATTACATATAATTACATATATATATACATATATATATATATATAAGTATATTAATACAATTATATAATTTTCGAGCAGAACCGGCAGGTACCAACAAATGGCTCGACGGCCTCGCTATTACTGACTGCGAACGACAGCTGCTCAGCGGCGGATAATTAGTTTGAATTCACTTTTCACGGTATTAAGTATATGTATAAGCGCGGGGTGTTAATGCTCGACCGCTATTAACCGGTTCACTGAAATTACCTCCAGGCAATCGGCATGGCATGAGTAGCATCCAATTAAAGCAACAAATTTTATAGAACAAAATAATTCAAAGGTACATGGAAAATAGAAATTAAAAATAAAATAAAATTGTTTTAACCACGTCTCAGGTTTCAAATTATCTCAGATGTAATCTCAAGGTTTTGGAAAAAAAATTCAGATTAGGTATATCGATTATAGGACAAACGCGGTGACAACTGGGAAGTTGTTGACACTAAATAGCTGCTATTTTGTAACGACTGGACAGAACTAAATTAAACGTTATACCGTAGTCTCATTCCACGTGCGCTGTAATGCATAACACTTAGCAAGAAGGGGAAAGAGGCCCGGAAAGAGAGAAAGAGAAGAAACGGGAAGCTCGTCAGGACATCAGGTGCTCGATCGAAGCCTAATTTTGGGGGAGAATAACCCTTACGAATTTGTCGGAAGTTGTACGACGATCTACCGCTCGATACGACTAATTAATCGTTAAATCAATATGCTTTCCGGTCCGATCAGACTGAGATTGCAAATGTAGAATAGAACTTTGATTATAGTATTATAAAATATATAATAGAATAACGATTTTTTTACTTAAAAATAAAAATTTATGACAAATTGAAAGCTAATAATAAAATAACCGAATGATATTGCAATAAATTAAAAAAATATATAGTTAATACATATTTAAATATATATAAAATTTATCAGATCAAAATAACGTTAATATATTTTAGCAGATAAATGAAAAACCTGATTTCTCCCTATATAAAATATTTTGACAAAAATTGAACGCACAATTAGGATTCCTAAAATCCACATGAATGATCGTTATCATTATCAAATTATATTCTGATAATGAAAGGCAAATAGGAAGAAAAAGAGATTCTTGCGAGGCAACACGTGCACGAGGAATAAGGGACGCGAGGGTGAGTAATGACAGTCCACAATAAAACGCGGAAAAGGAAATGGTCGTTCGTCGTCACGACGGAGCAACAGCTTGGAACTGAGGGCAGTCGGTTAATCGCCCACTTTCATACGTCAAACGGACATAAAAGACAAGACTCCCCTTGCTCCCCTCCTTCCTCATTCGGATTTATAGTCGAACGGTCAGGAAGTGGCGCGTATCTGACGAGAAACCGTTTAAATTTGCAGTTACGGGACGTAACGGTAATCTAAAAGTTCACCTCAAATGAAATAAATACTGTGTGTAAACGCAGTTATAATAAAATTTAATTTGATTTATTCCAGTAAATCACTTGGCGTATATATACCATCGCAAGGAGAGAGTCGGTTACTTCAATCTTTTTAGTTTAAATAATTTCTCACAGCTGAAATCCACGAATTTTAGATTCCTCTAACTTTTTTCGATATTTCAAAGTTTTTCTAAGTCTTTCCTAACTTTGTAATTTTAGAATTTTAAATTATAAAAATTTTCTATGTCAGGACTTGTTCATCTGAATTTTATTTCGCATTATCGCGTTCGACGTGTCTCTACTAGCTCTCGACAAATTTCAATCGAAACGGCGGACCGTTTGGTGTTGAAGATGACACTCGGCCCTGTCTGTCCACTGTCATCGCATCGCATATGCGAGCGCGGTGGCACTTCAGATTTCAATTCGCCTGGCGGACAATACGACTCGCGTACGAGCGACAGGAACGATCCGCGCGATCTCGTCGCATTTGCATCTGCCGCTATCCTCCCATTGTCTCGGCTAATTTCGCGCGTCGCCCCAACGTCCGCCTCGGGTTTCCCCGCTTCGGTAAATTAGCCATTCCCATAGCGCGGCCCCGTTTGAACACGAGAGGGGGGAGGGAGGGTTGAGACCCTCTCGAAAGGGGTCTCCGTTTTCCAATACAAATGCGGCGCGCGCGCACGGTGTTTCGCCATTGACGGTGAAGTAATCTTAGACGATAATAGGATGCAAAGCGTGCCGCGAGGAGCGATGAATATTCAAGCGTGTCATCGCTAAATATACACGCGTGATGCCGACAATGAGACGCGCGTTGCAGTCCGAACGGTAATGCAAATGCGACACTGATTGTGACGCGAATCTTGAAAACACCGGCGAGCTCGAAAGAAATATTCCGAATTATACAAGAGAAATGGGTCAGACACTTGAGATAGCGATATGAGTCATTTGCATAATAGTCACGTCTCTCCGGCGTGTTTAGTGTAACGTGATAGATCATTTCGAGAACGTCGAGTATACGTGAATGTCTTAGGGAATATTAGTGAACGAGAGAGAATGTAAAGCAGAATATCTCACACTTACATCTCGTATTTACTCTGAAAGAGATCGCTGATGGGACCCAGTAAGGAATTGCACAGGTCCAAGTTCCACATCGTTCTGTGAATAGAAATAGAAAAAAAAATAATTGTACGACCAAATGCACGGTTTATTAATTTTTGGTTTACTTTTAGAAATAGAAAAAAAAATAACTGTATGACCAAATACACGGTTTTTTTTCTATCGGGTCGATAAAAGGCTACGTACGGTTTTAATGTGAGGATACCCAGAAGATCCACGATGACCGCCAGGTCGTTCATCGCGACTGCCGAGTCCACCGCGGCCTGAAAACAATGTTACGTTACGCTTATTGGCCTTATACGTCTCGTGCGTTTTTTCTGCGCGGATTCAGATAAACGACTACCTTGAGATCCTTATTGTGCCAGAGGGAATATATTATCTGTAATGAGCGATGCCGACTCTTAAGTACCGCCATCATCGAATCGTGGCTGCGCATCATGCTGTTTATCACCTCGGCCTCCGACATTTCCGCCAGCACGCCCATCTGGGGATAGCCCAAAGCCGTCGAACCGGTGTAACTATGCTGCAAAATAAAACGTAAATAGAGGAGTTAAAACTTGACAACTTTCTAACCCGTTATGCAAAGATAAAATCGAGAACTTATTATTAATTTTATTACGTTCATAATTTCTTAAGCGAAAGGATTATTATTCACCGGTAAGAAATTCTCCACGTCCAAGCCGTAAGGCTTGTCGGCGCTCATCGGCACCAGTTCCTCCTTCTCAGCGTCTTCGACGTTGGTCCTTATCTGCGAGACGCGTATGTCGACCTTGGGATTCGGTGGGATCTGAGCCTTATTGAGTAGCTTCCTCGTGGACGTTGACGTGGTCGTGGAGGCGTTACGCGCCGACAGCGCGGTTGAGGTAGCAAAAGTTCGGTTGAGCGACGTCGACCTCGACTGCGCTGTGTTCGGCCTGTTCAGCGCGGGATCCGAGGGACTATGTCTTATATTATTAATTCTGCAACAGAAGAAAAGCCATCCTAAGTTACATGATCGTTACAAAATACAACATTTTTCTAGTACAATAAACTTTCAATTTTAATTAATTAATTTTATGAGCATTACGACAAATATATTCTATATATTTTGCAGTCAAAGAAAATTATTTTCTCTTGAAAATTGTAATCTGAAAAACATTATCTTGGTAAAAAAATTACAAAGATATTTTTTATTAATTTCTGCGTAATTTAATACATATATTTCTATTGTACTCCCTGATATTTACGGTAATTATTTTATATATTCAAAGAAAATCTGTCTACTATATCAATAGGAGTAACTTACTGTACAGGATAGTCGCTTTCGTATCCCTGTTCGCCGTCCCTGCTGCTCTGCCTCTTCAGGTAGTGCTTCGGGGAATCCGGACTGGGTACTCTGTTCTTCAGTTTGCCGTCGTCCATCACGGGGATCACCGCGGCCATCGGTGCGACGCGCGGCGTCAGGGTCGAGTTCGAGCGTTGCGGTCCTAAGGGATGGGACGGCGCCGACACCGCTTGTTCGTTGGTGGAAGCCATCCTCTTCCCTGGCAACGGCGTGATGCTCTGCCGTAACGGCGGTATCGATGCGAAGTTCTTGGACGTCCGTTGATTCAAGCCGTTGCTCGCCTGCAGATTCGCCCTGATCTGGCTCGTCGACGTGATCGAGCTCCTCTGTACCGGCGGCGAGGACTTGATCGGCTGAACCCGCACCGGCACCGGCTTCGTCAGGGACAACGTGGGCGCCGGCGGTGGCGGCGAAGAGGGGGATGGCACCGACGGCACCTCCTCGCGCTCCGTCGCGTTCAGGTTTAGATTCGACATTGAGGTAGAGAGATTTTGCAATATCTGCGGCTGCGCCGGATCTAAAATAGATCGATATCAACGTATCAATGATACCTTCTTCTAAAAGAAGTTATTCAAGCTATTCTATCTCTAAAAAGCAAAAAAATAGTCAAAGAATCAAGTTTTAACTCATCTAAATAAAAATATTACAAAATAAAAATATACAAGTTAAATTTACAATTAAAAAAATTTATCATCCACATTATTCGACTTTCTTCAAGTTCGTATTGCAGCATGCATTATACTAAAAAGATTCGGATTGAATGTTATATTAATATTTGATACACACTTGGAGGAACATTCCAAATGTGCGGCGGTAGTAAAAATTCCGTTCCGGAACTTATATCGTAATTTAGTAAAGTACAATCCGTGCAAAGGTTATTGAAACTCACCTACATCGTGAGGCTCCTGGAAAGCCTCGGAGGATTCGGGAGGTGGTGTGCGAGACACTGCAACATATCATGCACGGCATGCTCATTCACAAACTATACAGCGTTTGCATTCACATTTCGATGTGTTTTGACACATGTCGTGTATGTTTCGTTTGGTGATACGCGAGGGATTGGGTTAGATGTTAGTCTGGAATTGTCGCACACGCACGCGCACACACACACACGCACTCGGTGAACAATGAGACATTACAAGGCGGATTTATAGCGAGTCACTTACACGCCCTGCTCGGCTGAAAAACGTTTCTGTAGTCGGTCACGTTGGGTATATCCGAAGCGAAGGTAGCCTCGTCCTCCGGATCGGTGCCGGATTTGTCCGCTTCTTCTATCGTCCGTACGTCCAATCTGCAAGCGCATACAAACGTTACGGTGATCAACTCGTGTTGAAAATCTAACGTTAAAATTGAATTTCGTAGAGGAAAAAAAATTTACGTAGGCTTCTTCAATCCGATCGGTGGTCGTTCCCTGGAGAAGCTCTTTCGCAGAGAATTTCCATGACTAAACGGCGAACTCACGGCGGATATCCCTCCCAGTGGCGCGATCTTCTTCAAATCGCACACGTACAGAACGACATTCGCGGTATGAAGACTTGCGCCGATCTGGAACGATTTTCTGTCTTAATAAAAAATTAAAAAAAAAAACAACACCGAATATACGTATTCGAGAGTTCAAAATCTCAGGTGTTTTGTCCTACCAATTGATTTTGAGCTACGGCTATATCCTGGACTTTCCCCCAGTTGGTCGGTATCGTATCCAGGGTCCTGCCCGGCTCCCAGCCGTAAACCTTTAGAACGTCGTGGCTGCCGGCGAACAGGCATTCTCCGCCTTGACTAAAGTATAGGCACCTGAAACGCGCGCGATACAAAAAAAAACAAACAAAAAAATTAGTATGGCGCTCGAGCAACACGTGTTGCATTATCGAGGATTACATTTCCTAGCTCACCGGATGGCCGAAGAATGACTCAGTTCCGTGGAAGATACGAGCTTAAACGTCTCAAGGTCCCAGAAGTGGACCGTTCTGTCGGCGCTACCGCTGGCTAGTAGGAATTCGTGCGGATGAAACTCGACGGTGGTGGCCGGTCCTCTGTGTTCTGAAAATTCCCTTAGTTGTCTACCGGCCTTTAGGTCCCACAGCTAATTAAAAAAAATAATAATAAAACGAAGGTCAATGTCTCACATATAAAATATAGCGTGTACGAAGGAATAGAAATCACGCGCAATATTATAAGACGATAAGAGGGCTTAAGATAAGACGGTGATATAAATACGTTTTTCTTTCGATATATTTTCTGGGAAAAGAATCTGACTCACCTTGACCATGCCTTCCTCCCCGGCGCTGGCGATCCACTGTCCGTCCGGACTGAACTTTAGGCTATTCACAGTCCTGTTGTGGCCCTTGTACGTAAAAATGCAGCCCTTCCTGCGGATGTCCCACAATTTAATCGCCGTGTCCAAGCTCCCGGACGCCAGCAGCTCCCCGTAAGGATGGAAGTCCATGCAACGTATCCCGGATTTGTGTCCCGTCAGCGTGCGCGCCAGCTTGGCGTGCTCCAGGTCCCAAATCTTCAGCGCGCCCGTCTGCGAGCCGGCGCACACGAGATCCTCCGTCTGGCCGAAGCGTACGCATTCTATGGGAGTGGTATGGCCACTCAGGCTCTGAGAAAATAGACGAGGAACATGAAATTTCATTGCAGTTTTAACGAGTGTTTGATTTCGATAACAATTATTCGACAATTAAGCGTTCAAAGAACTCTCTTAAGTTAATATCTTACTAAAACTAAAGGAAATATTATATAAAAATAAATATATTATATATATTATATTAAAATAATATTAAAATTAAATTAATATTAAAATAATATATTATATAAAATAAATAAAAATTCATACAAATCATCCATTTTTAATGTTGAACTCGGTCAGAGATAATGAAACTGTTGCGCAATAGTTACCATAATACAATTCTGCTTTCCGACGGCCCATAGGTTCACCTTCTTGTCGTCGCCGCCTGTGACCAGGACACGACCCGACTTGTGGCCCAATGCCAAGCAATTGACGTTCGGCGTATGGGCGACGAATTCCTCTGTGACAGAAAAAGAAGACCCATACATTTCACGTTCATTTTACACACACACATATGCATGCTGATTTATTCCCGTTAACGTGATGCAACATATAGAAGATGTATATCTTTTGTATTATGCATCTCTCGCATCATATTAACGCGAATAAATTAATTACTTTCATTAACGTCGATTTATTTGCGGAAGATTGTATAATTTTCTTTTTTATGTTGGAGAAAAATCATTCTATTTACTCAACAAATAAGAATCATCTGACCGTCTCAAAAGTCAAATCAATCAACTCCACCTTTTGCAAATTTCTGAATTTTATTACCGGAACGGTTTGTGACTTCTCATTAATTTTAAACTTCTGATTTCATGTAGTTAATGAATTTGGCTTGAGAGACTCATTTGAGGCTCGTAAAATTACAAGCATAAAAATTCTCTTTAATGTCAATCTCTTTCGACAAATAACTTTCCATTCTTAGGCTAAATGCCATAAAACGTCGATTAAAAAATGAGTGCTGATCATAATTGGAAAATGTTAATTAGTAATAGAATATAAAGATTATTCACAATCAGTCAGATTGAGAAATTAAAGAGGAAATCTTGCAGCTTATTTTCGACGAGCATAAATTTCATTTGATACTCTACTCCGCATTATTTAAAAGCAAAGAACTCTGTCATTCATCTCTTCAATATAAATTATTCATTCGTAAAAAAAAAAAAGACGGACGGAAACCCTCCACGGCCGTTACAATCCAGCTCCTGCGTGCGAGAAATGACATCTCATTCTCGCCGCGGGACAAATTCCCGGTTGAGAGCCAGATGTAACCATAATTGGAAGAAACCGTGAGGTGAGCAGCAAAGTGGGCAAGTAAACAGAGACTGTTTACCCGCGGGGAACCTCGCGGAAAAGTAAGATTCTCGCGGAGGAGTGAAGAAAGGACAGAGAGAGAGAGAGACAGATACAGCGGGGGAGGAGTGAGAGAAAGAGCGAGAGCGTGTGAGAGCGTGAGAGAGCGGGCGCGCTCGCGCGCGCACGCCAGGACCCTCATTTTTTCCCCCCTGCAATGTGTGTGTGTATGTGTGCGTGTATGTGTACGAAAACGGATGGATCTCTTACGGAGCTTCCAGGACCTCCTCGTGGACGAGGCCATGTTCCGTGCCGCGCGCGAGGACTTATTTGGCAGCGACGGCGGCCCGTGGCGGTCCCGGTTGGCGCACGACGTACGATCTCCTCTCGCTGTCGCCGCCGCGCGAACGTAACATGTTTACCAGCAGCAACAGCAACAGCCTCTTCTCTTCCTCTCCTCTTCGCGGCGGTCTCGCCGCTACCTTCCCTCGGCGACCGGGCACCGCGGCGCGTGGCGTCGCGTGGAGTCGCGTCGCGTCGCGTCGCCGCCTCCCCCGCGCCCGCGGGAAGAGAGAGAGAACGTGGAAAAAGAAACCGCGACGCGCTGTGTCGCGAGAGCCGCGGAAATGCGATCGCCTCTCTCTCACTCGGGAAACTGCCAGTGCCACCTCCTCCTCGCCGTCGTCCCGTATCTCATCTCGTCTCACGAACCTGTCACTATCTGTCCGTCTCTCTCTCTCACTCTCTTTCCTTGCGCGCGAAGTGACGTCGCGCCTCCTCGTTAGATGGCAGTAGTCGCGGTGCTGATTGTCGGTAACATAGGGACTACCGTTGTCGATATAGTTGAGTTTCTAACCTCTGCTCTTTTACTCCGAAAATCTAACCTAACTTTGGAGCTTGTTAGGACTGTTTGTTTATGAGCTGTTCTGCGTTGCATTTTTTTTTATGTGAAAATGTAAACTATACGATTGAAAAAAGATGAACGAATTTCCAATAAAAAAAAGGAAACTTGCATAATTAAACGAAGTTACGACAGAACTGTGACGTTGACTCGTGATATTTGTGAGAGATTTGATGCTTGACGTTTGTAGATTTTTATGTATATGTATATTGCATCAACGTGTATAAAAAAATTAACTATTGATAAATATACATTCAACACGACGTAGAGTGATATTGAACTGTGATCGAGACGAAATACAGCTTTAAGTAATAATTTCTGAATCTGTTTACACATCATATGGAGAGCAATTTTTCACTCAATTATCTCTATTATTTTTCTTTAGATTTAATGGGCTTACTTTAAGACAGAAGTCTTATATCGAGATAATTATTAAAATTCAAATTAATCAAAATGACGTCGGTACTTCGTATGCGCGCTGCGTTTGTGGCAAGCCGAAGATTTCCTTCGCCCAAGACTCTCGGGAGAAGCTACGCGACGTACGTTCAAGGCCAATCCCCCGAGCCCCGAGTGCGAGAGTACTTCTATTATATCGATCATCAAGGCATGGTATTTTTTGTTTTATTTGACAATCAAGTACACGGCAGCTCCTGCCGTGTTAAATGAACAAGCGTCTCACGACTAACTTTATAACTTTATTTGTTACAGTTGTTCCTGGATGACGTCCGCATAAGGAATTTCACCTCCTGCTTTAAAGGTACGCAATAATAGCATTAGCTATGTAAGGAGCGTCTCTTTTACACCGAGCTGCAAACTGTCGCAGATAAGAAATTCCTGGCATTCTTCTTCAAGCGCCTGAGAAAGAATACCATCGGCCGCTACACGGACGACTTTCCGTTCCTGTCGATCTGCGGTGTGGAGAGGAACTTCGTGAGATGCGACGACTTGCCGCTGGTCTTCACAAAGGTGATTCGGAAGCGCGACGTGGAAACGGGCGCGGAGGAGGACTGGTTCAGTTACGCGCACGCGGACGACTTGTTGATGGTAAGTTCATGAAGTCAGCTATTTATAATAAAAGTTAACTTTCATTATTTTTGACTGGGGTTTCACTGACGTTATAACTCATTGAATTTGCCGTATAGGTGCCGTTTGATCCGCAAAGATTATTCATGAACGTTAAAACGGGTAGAGTGTATCATCCCGCGCCGGAGAAGGCGGGCGGGATCGGCTTGGTGCGATCCAATCTGGCTATCGAGTTCAGCGCTTCGTTCAACTTCGAGAACGGCGAGGGAAACCCGCCGACGCACTTCGCGTGGTGCGACAAGTGATATCAGCTCGATACGGAGTGGTACAGAGACAAATTGTGAATCGCTGGAATAGCTAGGTAAAAATAAGCTTCTCTCGTTCATAATTTGTAAACGAACTACAAAGGAAAAGGGATTCTCCAGTGACCCGAACGTACGTTGATCTGAATAAGGTTTCAATCGTCGCACATTGTTCATTAAAAAGTTACGAATAGAGATATGCTTATATTTTGATTTTATAAATCATACTTTTGTAAATAGATGCGAATATATATATTATATATACATATGTTCCTTAATAGTTCGATATTCTACATTTTGCGTTACGTTAACATATAGACGAGATGTCAAAGATCCTGGCAGTGCTGTCGTCGGAAACCGTTAGCGCTTTCTTCTCGTCACTGAAAAATCACGAAACATCATTGAACATCGCAGAAGAGATCAAATTTCATGAATGGGGATTCAATATTAGAACAGAATTTTCTAACGGGAAAATGACATCGGTTGCAATAATTTTTTATGTTTAATAATTATTCTTTGATGTTATAATTATTTGATCTTAAATGGAAAATTTTTATTCGCGCTTACTTAGTGCGAGTATAATCGAAATTAACACGACGAAATTAATCCGCGTGGAATCTTTCCGATAGTAATAATTCTATTTCTTTCGTAAATAATTAGCGTACAAATTTACACGCTAGCAGCTTGATTTACCTGGATATACACAAATCGTATATGGCCGCTCGGTGTCCTGAGAATGTCCGGAGGCACTGACCTGCTTTCGCATCGAAACATCTTAGTTTACCATCTAATCCCGCTGTAAACAACATCGTTCTGACCCAAACAAATTTTACGACACCTCCTTCTTGCTCCATCACGTGTCTGAGGGTCTGAAGAGGATTTGCAATTAAAAACTTGTCGTATTCAGAAACAAACTTCGGATATGTAAATATAAAGAATATAATACTTGTTTAGAAGTATCCCATATGTAAATTTTTCCGCATTCGTCGTTCACGACTGTACCGGTTGCAGCGGTAGGGAATGTGGGATCTTTGCAAAAAGCTACGGTCTCCACATTATTGTTTTTCTCAGTTTCATTTCCATTCAAATCTTGAAGCACACATATTACCTGAAAAATATTTCAATATTGAGTTACTCTTAATAAGCTGATAAGTTCAGTTAACAATCGATCCGCATTACTTTAATCTTCATATACCTAGGCCACACAAAAAGCCAACATTCTTCCAAATTTCTTCGGAAATTATTTCTTTTCAAGTATAACAAATGTAGGAAAAAAAATATGGATACAATAGTGTTACGTGTTGAAAATTTAGAGAAAGTTTCCTTTACCTTGCCATTATGTAATGTGCTTAGGATAGTCTGGCTCTCCACTGACACCGAAATCAACAGATTATTTTCCATGTGACAGTCAAGAGCAATGACGGCGCTTGCATGTCCACGCACACGCGTCTGATCAGGGGGAGTAGTGGATAGTACGGTGCTCGATTTCAAATCTATTACGTGAATCGTGCCGCTCCGATATCCAATTACCGCGCGTTTCCCTGCAAGATTAATATTACTATTTCGTTCTCCGAAGTAAATCTGTAGAGCCTTGTTGCCACGATGCTAGAATCGTTCCGAGATCGTGAATAGAGAAGAAATTAACACATTTGATACGGTTTGTACAATTCGGCCAATTGATCCAGTGTGATTGATCGATTAGTTCTTTTTTTTGAGATCTTGGAATAATTTCTAACATCGTACAAAGCTTAAAAGTATATTTTGTCGTACCATCTGGAAGAATTATACCAGTCTCCGATTTATCGCCGGTACCCTGCGCGAAGACTTTGCAATCGTCCTTCCGTGCCTTCAACATATAAACCTCTCCCGTTATGGCGCCTGCTACTAAAATGTCGCTGAAAGGGTGCCACTTTACCCACTAGATAATAATTTTAAAAAATGTGATTAATAAACTGCTGTAGACGATCATTTTTAAAGGGACAAAAGCTGTTTTTTTTTTTTAATCAAACTTTCTGTACTTCTCGTCTTTTTTTCACAGCTAATAAAATAGTCTAATTAAGTTATTTCATTTACAGCTATGAGAAACGGGTTTTGATAAAATTGTCAGCTCACGGTGATATCGTTCGCCAAGGAGGTTTCCCATACGCAAGTCCTGTCACTTATCCGCCACAATTTTATTCCGCCGCTCATATCGGCCGTGGCCACATACTTGTCGCTGTAGTTGAAGTCAGCGAATATAATGCTGTCGTCGTGGCTGCCCTCGGTACAGAGAATACTCTCGCCCGTGTTGATGTCCCAGAGATACGCCTTGTCGTTTTCGTCCCCTGTCACCGCTAGCTCGCCGTTCTTGCTTAACGAGCCGCAAAACACCGAGTGTCCTGAGATCAACGAAATAAATATTAAATTCTCAAGCGTTAAAACTAAGTGAATATGGCCTATATATAGGGTTGCCGTATCAAAATTTTCAAAATTAGAACTTATAAGCCAAAAACCTCGGCGACGCATATAAAGAAAAAGCGTGTGTAGCAGATTAGCGGCTCGTTTCTGAATAATTACGCGGGAGTCAAAATATTTAAAAAATTTCTTGGAAATTTTAAAATCCCAGACACCATAAAAAAGAGAACAGATGGCAACCCTAAATATAGCAAAACTTGTTACAAAAAAAATTAGAAGTCGAATTGCACAGAATACAAAAACAATATAAGTATCAGTTAGACTAGCGGGTGAGCTACAATGTAAAATACATTGTAAAATAAAATAAATAATCTATTCGTTCTTGTTTAACGAGCAGCAAAACAGCTGCGTGCCGCGGGATCAGGGATTTAAAGGGATAGTTAACTGTCACGTGCTGCGGAGACCGAAATTGGCTTTCCTCACCGGACGCGTGGTTGCGATAGACACGCACGGCGTCCTCCTGCGAGAGATTCTCCGTCGACGAGCTCTCGCTCATCCAGTTCTCATCCTCATCGTCGGACGAGGAGCTCGCGCTCTCGAAAATCGAGTCGTCCGGCTCAATGATCTCCTCGACCATATCGTCCTCGATAATCATCCCGTCCATGTCGGGAGCTTTCACGTCGGGCGACAACGGCGGTGTATGCCTGCCCTGCATCTAACCGGGGGGGGAGGAAAGAAAAAAATCAACACCGGTTAATCGGCTGCTCGATCAATTAGCGAAGGTAACACTGACTAACACGAGATAAACAACGTCTACGAGGGGACAAGAGTCTCCGAATTCTCCCCCCGCGTCACGCTAAAAATATTGATGCACGTGTTCGCGGCACGTGGTTCTCAAACCTCAAATGTTAGAACGATGACGATAAGTGACGAGAAGGTTCGCAAGAGGTTTATCCCAGTTTATCCTTCGTAAGCTAAACCTTCCCGCTGCGGTGCTAGCAACGTTATCTCTTTTCTCTTCTTTCTTCCAACGTCTAATCATATATTCGTGTCATTTTACGTGCAGAAGGTGCAGTTACGAAGAACGTATTTATTTGCTGCGCGCTAACGCCCTCTCAATAAATCTGGCGGCTAAAGATAAATTTGTCTGCGGATTAATTTTAATCTTCGTTTAACTTATTCTTTAAGCTTTTTTTCTAGAGAAAATTAAATTAAACCGAGTTTAAAATTAATCTAGATTCTGTTGATAGAAATAAATATTTTATAGAATCTAGAGTATCTAGATTGAACGGGAAATAGGATTTACAGATGTTACGTTACAATTCCAATTTTTTCCTTGTTATGTTGTAATATGTCAAATAATTACAAATGCTAATAGTTTTTAAAAATACTCTCTCAATAAATCTGGCGGCTAACGTTAAATTTATGTCCATCTCTACCAATGCGAATTAATTTTAATCTTAGTTTAACAATTACTCTTTAATCTTTTTTCTAGAAAAGATTAAAAATTAAGTTAAACCGAGATTAAAGTTAATCTAGATTCTGTTGATAGAAATTAATATTTTCGAGAATCCAAATTGGATTTACAGATGTTACAAAGTTACAATTCCAATTTTTTTCCTCGTTACATTGCAATGTGTCAAATGATTGAAAATGCTATGGTTTTTGAAAATATATTAAATATTTTTGTAATACAAGAGTAAAATAGAAGAGTGTACGTACTAATCAGTTTTTATTCAATAAATATATCAAGGTTATTTTAAAGAGAAACGATGTAACGTTATTAACTGCATAACAAGCTTTCTGTCATATTTGAACTTTATATTAATATATATATGTATATACATTCACTCACCATATGCAAACGCTACTATAAAGATCTGTGAGAATATACATGTTATGTACAAATGACTGAACGTAAACGAAACTAAGACAATATATGAGAACACTGCATAGATTATTGCAACATGCAACAAAATATTCGCACGAATCCTTGTAGCTTCAATTTAGAATCAAGATCAAGAATCTCTCGGTCGAGTTAACGCGCTAGTTGGACTTTCTACCCGCACTGCGTTCTCTCATTAAGTGCCTAAGCTTAGCTTCATTATTCCGCCTTCAACGACTTCTTCTCTTTCCTCTTTCCGATTCTCTTCTTGCAGTCGCTGTTAATGTCATTGAGATCGAACGCAGCCTTTACGTTGTCCTGAAAAATTGAAACGGATAAGATAATAGAGAGAGGATAGAATTACACACGTAAATAAGATATTGACGTGATTAGAACGTGAAACGACGGCGTACCAGCGAGAAAAGAAACTTGACGAGCTTCCCTTTGTGATTCGCGTACGGACGTCGCTCCGCTTCCTTGCCGTCTTTGAAGAGTATCAACGTCGGCAGCTGCTTGCTCGTGCTGGCGTCGCTGATGTGATACCTCGCCGCGGCGTCCGGGTATCTTCCGACATCGACTTTACCGAACTTGAAGTTATCCAATGCGTACCTAAAAATCGAGTTTTTTTTTTCAATGACGGCAAATGTAAGAGTATTTCTCTCGAGAAAGAGAGATCAGACTGCAAATCAATTTAAATCGCTTACTCCGCAGAGAGCTCAGAAAATATCGGCGCGAAAGTCACGCAGGCCGGATTCCACGCGGTGTAGAACGCCACCAGCCAGACCACTCTGGTGTCGCGCTGCAGCTCCTCCTGCAGCCCATTGGCTCCATGTAGATAGACCACGTTCTCGGGCCCCTGATACGTCGGCTGCGGCAGCACAAATCCACACACTGCATGCAAAAGTGGCTATTAGATCGCTTGCGATACACAACGATGTTTTATGAGATTACAATTAAAATTCTTGAGAGATAGACTGGTATTCATAGGCGAATCTATTTAAGACTTATCTTAAGGTAATACTTTGAGGTGTTTCCTTCAAAAAAGCTACGCAGTATTTGCAGCTTATCTCCGTGTCTTGGAACATCATTAAATTTTTAAATACCAAAGTTTTAATTAAATTATAACGATGTTTTATAAGATTACAATTAAAATTCTTGAGAGATAGACCGGTATTTATAGGCAATTCTATTTAAGACTATCTTAAGGTAATATTTTTGAGGTGTTTCCTTCAAAAAAGCTATGCGGTATTTGCAGCTTATCTCCGTGTCTTGGAACATTAAATTGTTTTTGAAATACCAAAGTTTTAATTAAATTAACAATCTCAAGATGTTGTTAGCCAATCATAAGGACTTATTAGCAGTTATTCTTAAGATGGTCTTGAAAGAATCAATTCTGAATACCAGCTGTATACAGAGTTTTACGGGTGTCCTCCTTACGTGTAAAAATCAGTGCAAACAGAATGCCCATCCGCACGTCCGCGTAGAACCACAGGAGCACGTTCGCTATTTTCGAGTACACGAAGCTGGACGTCAAGTAGTTTATCATGGTCACGCTGCCGGTCTTCCTCGTTCTTATCATGATGACGATTATGAGGAAAAAGAGGATTTCTGTCTCCTTCTAAAGACACAAATTAGACATTGTTAATAAAATAAGCGAGTGCTGTTAAAAATTATACCTCGCCGATAGACTTCTGTCACTTACCCCATCGAACTCGCAGTCGGCTTGAGCAAATATATAATTACAGACTATGGGAAGGCGCTTGGAGACGATGTAGGAGACGCTGAGGAGGATGTTGATCAAGTAGTACGGCTTGACGAGCAGCCTCAGATCCTTCTTGAACGACATTTCGCGTCGGAGAGGTAATTTGTACGAATCGGAAAATCTGAGGCGCCTGGCGTACGCTCGGGAGTCAATCGAACTTGATTAACGTCGAACGACGATTATTGCAGATTATTTGTACGATCCGTCTCGCGCAGATCGCACGTATCCCGCCTCCTCCTGAGAACTTCCTAAAGGCGACTATCTCCCGAACATGGATGAGGTCAAATGAGGTGGGTGCGGTGTCGTCAATTGTTTCGCGAGATTCATTCACGTGGACGAGGCAAGGCGGACGGACGGACTCTCTTTGCGATACAGGAGCCAAAAAACGAGGCCACGACTAGGGACGCGACTAGTTCGTCAGGTCCCTCCGTGTATTACTCGGCCGTGCCCCGTAGAATAGATATAAACGCGTTGCACAACGCAACTAGGACGTGTCAAATTCTATACTCGCGTGGAACATATCGGAACGTCAGGATTCATCGTCTCGGTCAGGTATATTATCAGACAGCCAGCCCTAGATAAATTTTCGTGGTTATCAAGGGGAGTCGGGCTGAGGGATAATAGTTGGATATTGACGTTATCATCAATAAAAGTGTCTGCTGTCGATAATAGTAGTCTTGACATTACCGACAATTGTTGTAGAGATAAATTTTCTATTTTTCTCCACTGTCGATAATAGTAGAGTATTAATATTACATCGATATTATTCAAATATATATATGTATATTGTATATCCTATAAATTTGGATATGTATATACATTTTTTGACTGTGATGATACAAATATCAATTTTATTAATCTACAATAGTATTAAATTGATGACATGATTTTTTTTTATTAGACAGACGTATTTTTTTATAAATAATAGATATATTTGACAGAAAATCATAGATTGTTGCAAAACTGCATTTTTCCCAATAATTAATTGCACATGGAATGATTAAACGCGGATGACATGGAAATGCAGTTTTGACTAAAAATCAAATCGAGATGTATATACATATATATCTATTATATTTGCCAGACGTTATAATAGGATCTTAATAATAAATTGGAAAATTAAAATTAAAATTATGAGCTAATCGTTTAAATTTTGATAAAGTCAACGGTCTTTAATAATAGTACCACCCTAATAATATATATGTTTTCTTGGACACCCCGTATATGATCGAACACGTGTGTTTATGTTTACTTGGCACAATGCTTACGCAAGTTCACTGCGCCTCTTTGGGCTGTATTCGAGGAGTGCTATCAGCGCTTATTGCATCATTTCGTCCTTGTTTTACGTTTAATTAACGATAATGACAAAACGAAAGTAATATATAAGCACTGATAGCGCTCTCCTCGAACGTATATAGCCTTAGAAAAACATTAGCATTGTGATAACCTAATTATAATAACAGTGTCTCAGGACAATGTAACGGCCAGTTAGTTCAATCGATCTAGCGGATTGGCAAACAAAGAAAATTATCATTTTCTCTACATATTTTATGTCGGTTAGTAACAACGAATTATATTATCGCTATCAGCTACTCTAGCCACTTATAGCACAGTAGTATCAATCAGATATATATTTCCTGCTTATCAGAGATATTTTCTCCCTCTATGCTTTTCGTTGTGTAAAGTTCATGCTATTTAACGCCCACGCGGCCACCGTGGATCTCCAGAAGCTGCAGGAATGATGAGGCTCGCCAGCGGGAATTCCCTTGCGGGAATTTTTTTGCTCCTCGAAGCTTGCTTGCTCGTCAATGCAATCGAGAATCCTGGCGCTCTCAACAATAGCATCCCGGTGATAGTGATCACCTGGGATTACACGAATGCAACGGCAAAAGGTATATTAAGATATTTATTTGTGTACTAGATTGTTAAGAGGCATGCAGTACCTTTTAAAGCCTCAGCAATTTATAAAGACATTAAAAACATTAATTATTATTTAAGCATGGAACGTGATATACAATCAGAAGAGAAGTGCTCTGGACGCGATAGAAGAAGGCTGTAGCCTGTGCGAGGAGCAGCGATGCAGAAAGACAGTGGGATTTGGCGGCAGTCCGGATGAATCTGGAGAAACCACGCTGGACGCTATCATTATGGATGGGTAATGTAGGCGATTGAATTGGCAAGAGCAGCCTTTTTCATTTCATTGAACTGTACTTGTGATTATATTTAAGGTAAACGTATCAGTGACTGAACGTGTATCTATAGCTGAACAAGTACACAAAACAAGCACCAAAAACTTATTTTTAAATACTTTTTTTTTCATAATATATATTTAATTGTAATCTTTAAATATTTTTACAATTAAATTTTGATATAATAAAAAAAGCATTTGAGATTAATAAATTTTGTGTATGTGTTTAGATATAGATACATGTTCAGTCACTGGTACGTTTGCCTTAAAAAAGTATTTTTTTTTTTTACAGAGTGACGATGGATGTAGGTGGAGTAGGTGGACTGCGAAACGTGAAGAATGCCATTTCGGTCGCTCGCAAAGTACTGGAGCACACGAAGCATTCTCTGCTAGGCGGGGACTTGGCTACGGATTTCGCTGTGAACATGGGATTCAAGAAGGAGTCCCTGCAGACGGACGAGTCCAAGGATATGTGGAAGCAGTGGAAGGCGAACAAGTGTCAACCCAACTTTTGGAAGGTATGATATTGAGAGGGAAGACCCATATTCTTTTTCAGTATACACACACGTACACACACACATCTTGTCTTTGATTGATTTGATGTTTTTATTATAGAACGTCGTTCCGGATCCAACAACCACCTGCGGACCGTATCGTACGAGCGTCGTAGAAGGTGATAGAAGCACGGTAGTAGGAAACGAGGATAACCATGACACGATCGCTATACTCGCGATAGACTCGCAGGGACGCACAGCGGCCGGCACGTCTACGAACGGTGCCAAACACAAGATACCCGGTCGCATTGGGGATTCTCCTATCGCCGGAGCCGGCGCGTACGCCGATCAGGAAGTCGGCGCGGCCGCCGGAACTGGTGACGGAGATATTATGATGCGATTTTTGCCGAGGTATATCATCACGTACTAATATAAACGTGTGAACTAAAATGCTTTGACTATATAAATATGGACTGCTAGTGATCCCTCCCCCCCACTTTTATATATATATATTATGTAAAAAACATATGCCCGGTGTCGCCGAGCTGAAGTTGGTTGAGATATCGAACTTCGATTTTAAGGCTCATCCCAGTCAGTAAAAAAAAATGTCAAAAATGTCAAAATGTATTAAATGTTATACTGAAAATTGATAGGGAGCCGGAAAAAATCTCAAATCGACGAAAAGAAATTAAAAACAGACTCAGCATCTATAAATTTCCTTTACACGTCGTAAACACGCTGATTTCACAGAGGAGCCTTCCCCCTTCCCGCAAAAAAATTACTGACTGGGGTGGAGCCTACATCTTCCAGTTTGGCGACACGTATGAAGTTAAATACTATTAGTCCATACTTAAATAGTCAAAGCTAAAATGTAAATTTAACATTTTATTTTACATTCTATTTTATTGTAATGTAAATTTAACATTGCATTTTACATTCTGTTTTGACGTTAATCAGTCAAATTTCTTACTTTAATTTTAAATTCGTTTAGCAAATAAAGTTAATATCTGGCACAATGTGTGGTAAAATTAACAATACAATTGTTGGAATTAAGTTGAATACTTTTTGCAGCTTCCTGGCGGTGGAGGAGATGCGTAACGGAGCAACGCCGACAATAGCTGCTAGGAAGGCGATTAACAGGATCGTCCAGCATTATCCTGACTTCTTCGGTGGGGTAATCGCGTTGAACAAAAAGGGAGAATACGGAGCAGCATGTAATGGAATGTCCGCATTTCCTTATTATGTAGCAAATCCCACTTTGGGCCCCAAGTTACTTTCCGTTCAATGCAGCAATTATAATCCGTAATAAAAATGACGAAACTTTGCATATTTCAATTTTCGAGCTGATACAGAACCATGTATAATACTGAGCCTTCTTAATAATATAAATATGTAGATGTATACTGACGTGTGCATATGTACGTAAATGTATGAAAACTCGATAAATAAAGGAAACGAAATGGTATTTTAAAAAATTCATGCAAACTCAGTATTATATATGAGTTTCTAATAATTCCATTTTAGCAATCTTAATTTAGCAGATATTTGTTTACAAAAAAAATGTACAATTTTTTATTTAATATGAAATTAAAATAAATTTCTATATTTTAACAATTATATAATTCATTTTTAAAACATAAAAAATTATTTTAATTTCTAAATATAAATATAAATTTACTTTTTTGTTCTAAATGTGATGCTAAAACGTGAGTTATTGAGCTTTAGCGTAATCTATCAGTATTAATACAAATAATTATGATAAAGTCACTTGCAATTTTATCGGATGTGAAATTATTTATCTTTTATTTATCATTTTATGTTATCGACAATATTAATAATTTAAGATATTTAAGTTGTGTTATATAAATGCAAAGAGGATATTTTATAAAAAGTAGATATTTCAAAAATTTGTATTAATATTAATTTTTTCCGTATAATCAATTTTTAACTTATAAAAATGAGCTTATATGAAATTCTTATTGGTCATATTTTGTGCTATTGTTGCATTATTTCGTTCTGTTTTACGTTTGCCGATAATGATGAAATAATATAAAAGCGCTGATAGCGCTCTCCTCGAAAGCCTTAAAAAAAAAAAAACAGCACTGATAATCTAATAACAACAATCATACAGTCTCAAGACAACACAACGGTCAATAGCTCTAGCAAGTACTTAGCAAACAAAGGAATATCGCCGGAATTTCTAATTGCCGGTTAGTGAATAAATTATGTTATCGCCGTATTCTATCCGCTTATAGCACAGTGGTGTCAATCACAAATGTTTTTCGTGTTTATCAGAGATATGTTCTCCCTCTGCTTTTCGTTGTGCAAAGTTCATGTTATTTGACGCTTCCAGAGGCACTGTGTATCTCCAAAAGCTGGAGGCAGGATGAAGCTCGTCAATCTTTCGGGAATTTTCTTGCTCCTCGAAGCTCTCTCGCTCGTCAATGCAATCGAGGATCCTGGCGCTCTCAACAATAGCTTCCCTGTGATAGTGATCACCTGGAATGAGAAGAATGCAACGGAGAGAGGTATTATTAAGATATATCTACTCTTGTGCCAGCTCGTTTAAAGTAAGATATGCAATGCTCTTTAAAGCCTCAGTAATTTAAAGATATTGTTAATTATTATTCAAGCATGGGACGTGATATACAATCAGAAGAGAAGTGCTCTGGACGCGATAGAGGAAGGCTGTATCCTGTGCGAGGAGCAACAGTGCAGGAGGACAGTGGGATTCGGCGGCAGCCCGGATGAATTAGGAGAAACCACGATGGATGCTATCATTATGGACGGGTGATTAAAGCGATTGAAGCGGCAAAAGCTGCTTTTTTTTATTTAATTGAATTGTATTGGTGATTAAGAAATGTATTTTTATTTTTGTTATTTTTTTTTTCGACAGAGTGGCGATGGATGTAGGTGCGATAGGAGGAATGCGGAACGTGAAGAATGCCATTACGGTCGCACGCAAGGTGCTGGAGCACACGAAGCATAATCTTCTGGGCGCAGACCAGGCTGCGGATTTCGCTGTGAACATGGGATTCACGAAGGAGTCCCTGCAAACGGACGAGTCCAAGGAGAAGTGGATGCAGTGGAAGGAGAACAAGTGTCAGCCCAATTTTTGGAAGGTGATAATATCGAGAGGAAAAATCTCAGGAGATTCTCTTTTAATATATACACTCAAATCTTGTCTTTGACTGTTTCGATGTTTTTATCCATATCCAGAACGTCGTACCGGATCCAACAACCACCTGTGGACCGTATCGTACGAGCGTCGTAGAAGACGATAGAAGCACGGTAGTAGGAAACGAGGATAATCATGACACTATCGCTATACTCGCGATAGACTCGCGGGGACACACAGCGGCCGGGGCGTCTACGAACGGCGCCAAGTACAAGATACCCGGCCGCATCGGGGATTCTGCTATTGTCGGAGCCGGGGCGTACGCCGATCAAGAGGCCGGCGCGGCCGCCTGCACAGGCGACGGAGATATTTTGATGCGATTTTTACCGAGGTATATTACTACGCATTAATACGAACATGTGAATTAAAATGGGAATATTAAAATATATATAAATTTATACATTTTATTTTGACGTTCAATCAGTCATAAATTTTTTATTTTAAATTTGTTTAGTTAGCAAAGTTAATACTGATTTCTTACTTTAATTTCTAATTTTAATCTTAAATTTGTTATTTTTAAATTTTAATTTCTTATTTTAATTTTAAATTTGTTAGCAAAGTTAATACTTAGTACAATAATATCTTGATAAATCAGTTAGTTGGAATTAAGTTGAATATTTTTTTGCAGCTTCCTGGCGGTGGAGGAGATGCGTAACGGAGTAGCGCCGAGCGTAGCTGTTAGGAACGTGATTGACAGAATCGCCCGGCATTATCCCAAGTTCCTCGGCGGGGTAATCGCGTTGAACAAGAAGGGAGAATATGGGGCAGCGTGTAACGGAATAGCCGCGTTTCCTTATTACATTGCCAATCCCGCTTTGGGCCCCACATTCCTTTCCGTTCCATGCAGCAATCCGCCGTAGTAAGAATGGCTTATTGTTGAATTGCACGTACGTTTCAAATTTCAAGTTGATACAAAACAATTAATGTATGGTGCTAAACATAACTGCACGGACTCCGGCGACACAGTCGATGGCACATCTTTCTTTCAATAAAGATCGTATAATCAAATTTGTGATAAAATCATTGTGATAAAATTCGAAAACAGATCATAATGCCGCCGAAGTCTACGCATTTGTGAACGACCTTGCGCTCTTGTTGCTATATACAAACTTATGAAAATTTGATAAATGAAGAAAACGAGACTGTATTAAAAAGAAGATTCATCACAAGTATTATGAATTATTTTTATTTTAGCAACCAATTAATTGAACATGTTTCCAAAAATAAAAATATACAATTTCCCATTATATTATAAAATTAAAATAAATTCATATATTTGAACAATAAATTTGTAATTAATTTTTAAAACATAATTTAAATTTCCAAAAATAAATTTATGTGTTTTTGTTTCAAATGTGTATAATAAAAATTGCGTTTTTATTAATCGAGCTTAGCATAATTTATCGATAATACGGATATTAATTAATTATGATAAAATCATTTGCAATTTTTTACTGAATGTGGTCAATTATTTATCTTTTTATATTATATTATAATCGACATATTAATTACGAATAAAAGTGTAAATTCTCAAAACGTGTGTCGGCATAATCGGGGGGAGTATAAAAAAGGTGGCGCTAAATCTGAGAGAAAATTCGAATCGATAGAATCGACTCTCAGCAACTCGCAACGTTCACGACGCTCCACGACGAATTATTATAGGTTACGTTGGATTAGATCAGGTTAGGTTATGTGCCGTCTCCGTACGGCGTATGTACGGATGGAAAATATTCGCGCTTGGTCGAGTATCCCGTAGAGGTAAGATGCCAAGGGACGTCCGCGAGGACGCGCGATCGATGGAACGAGTTAGATGTGCGAGCGCGCCTCACGAAGTCCCGGCCGTCGTGTTGGCGCTCCTCGTGCGCGACTTGCCCTAATAGCAGGAACGAGAGACTGAGAGAGAGAGAGATAAAGAGACACGGAGTACGCTGTCAGGGTGCGCAAACGGGTGTCACGTGAAACGCCTGGCATGGATTATGCAACGATCGTCGACGACGCGGTCAGGCAGTTCTACTCGGCGGGCAGCAACGAGGCGCACTCGTGGCTGCTGCGGGTGCAAGCCTCCCCCGAGGCCTGGCACTTCGTGTGGCAACTACTGGATCCCTCCAAGGTACCCCCAACGTCAGCGAGGCGTCTCTTCCCTTTTTCCCTTTGTTTTGCAAAGCTGATATTTTCGTAATACACGTGTTTCTCTCGCGATTCTTCGCTGCGATGTTTCCTGACTGGACACGCCGGGAACATTGCGATCACGCGATTGTCTCGACTGTTGCTCTTGAACTTCAGAATGACCGTAACGAGAGGGGACGAGTCGAGAATATTTTTTGAAACAATTCTTTTGCACGAACGATACACATATAGATAGCTAGATCCTTTTGCTCTTCTTTAATGACGAAGTCTTATCGTTCTTACAGTCATACGAAGCGCAGTTTTTCGCGGCGACGACTCTGCACGCCAAAATATCCAAGCAGTGGAATGAAGTGCCTGAAGCTGAGTATCCGGTGTTGAGGGAACGTTTGCTCAATAGTGTGAGAAGGCCCAGCATCCCCTTATGCATCCTTACAAAGCTTTGCCACGCGGTAATACATTTTTCTTGAAGGCATTCACGAATAATAGGACATACTATATATAATTGAATAAACCTTCAGTCTATTATTTTGTACTATATATAATTAAATAAACCCTCACAGTCTATTAATTATTTGACATGCGCTGATTTCAGTTAGCCGCGTTTGTGGCCAACATTTACAGTGCGGAGAACAGGGAGCAGGATAGGAGTATAGTCGACGAATTGCTCGACATTTTACCTTATGATTCTCCCTCTGCGTTAGAATTACTGCTTCGAGTGCTCTCGACACTTCCCAATGAGGTGAGACGTAAAATATATGCAGGCTGAGAGTTAAGCTACTTAACGTTTTGCTTTTTCGACGAAGCGTTTAAACTGACGAAGAACTCGTGATTGTTTTTTCAGTACGAGAAGAGACACGAAGCGAAGAGTGCCAAACGGGAAGCTCTTGTCAACTTGATCAACAGCTGGTGCCAAACCACGTGGTTCTTACAGCAGGTCTTTTCAATGTGTAACCCGGATTCCCAGGGCAACGACGGTGCATTGTACTCCCTGGGTCTGGAATGCGCTCAATCGTGGCTTAAAGTTGGCCAGCTGCCTTTAGAGACCACCGGTCAGATCTACCCCTATTTATTGGTGGCTGCGGCTCACTATGCACCTAATAAGTAAGTCATATCGAAAAAAAAACAATAAATATCGTAAAATTTAATTGCACGTCATTAAGGTGGTTTTATCGCTCAACGCCAACTCGATAGTGTGACGTTGTCACATAAACGTCACACAATCGCATATGTACAGTCTATGCGAAATGTTTTTATTGAATTACGCTTGTTTTTATTGAATTATTAGTCATATGGAGGGACTAATTTTTGACTGGGACTTGCACGATAAAACCACCTTAAAGAGAACAATATTAATAGAGAGATGCGAGTTATCGAATTATAAAATAAAATATCAATTCCTTCTGTTAAAGAGACGAGAATCAGGGCGATGACGATAACGTCAAGAGCTGGGATATAGTACAAGATTGTTTAATCATGATCGTGACGCACTACGAGCTTCACAAACGGCCGCAGACGTTCTGGGAGTGGGCCAGGAGTTTGGTGCTGATGGCGAAGCAGTACAATGGGAAGTACTTCTGCGAGATATTAACCGCCATCGGCGAGGCCCACAGTCGCGCGTTCCTCATTGCCCTGACCGAGAACTCGAACGAGGCGCACACGTGGACGGCCATGGGATTGATCGAGCTGCTGCTGGAGTGCTCGGAGCTGGAGGGACGTTATCCGATCGACGAAACGCGCAGCTGCATCCCGTTCGGTTTCTGGTACGCGTTGCAGGACGATCTCGCCACGCTGGATCAACCGTTGGAGAACCGAGCCCTGGAAGCGTTGAAGCCGATTTACTTCCGACTGGTCCAGGCGTTGCTGAGAAAGTCGACGCTGCCGATGTCCCCGAGCGAGAGAGGGAACGCGGACGAGCGCGAGCTCTTCAGATGTTACAGGCAGGACGTGGCGGACACGCTGGACTATTGCTACAGCGTACTCGGCAGCGATCTGCTCGCGCTCCTCGGGCAAAAATTGAGTCTGGAAGACTCGCCGTGGACCCACATAGAGTCGACGTTACACGCCTTCAAGGCCCTGTCGGAGAGCGTCGGTACGAAGGAGTACTGTTACATCCCCGCGCTGATAAACTTGATCATCGTTCACATACCTTATCACATTTACCCCGAAGAGGTACGTACGATTATTCACGTAGAAACAACAATTAATTAAAAATTGTACTCTTTTCCTTCTAAACGTTAATTGAAATAAATAAAGAAAATAATTTACTTCTAGCTAAGATTGTCTTGATAATTTTTTTTTTTTATGTAATAGCAACATCCCATAAATATTTGGTTTGTTTCGTCGCCAGGTACTAACGTGCGCCTGTTCGACGCTGGGCGCATACGCCGAGTGGATAGGGGAGCATCCCGAGCCCTGGCTGGAGAAGGTGCTGCAGCTCGTTACCCAGGGACTGACCAGGGGCTCCACGACAGCGCCGTTCGCGAGTATGGCGCTGAAGGATCTGACGAGGGAGTGCGGCCCGTATCTCGCCCCTTACGCGCCATCCATTCTGCAGACCATCAGCCAGACGCTGCCGAACGTCGAGCCTGGCGGCGGGGAGGGTTTGCGGCTCATGTACGCGGCCGGGAAACTGCTCAATGTGCTGTCCTCTATGGAGGAGCAGCTGGTACACCTGGAGGCGACGCTGGGCCTGTGCGTGACGAAGATAAAGGAGCTACTGGAACAGCCGTTGTTCACGGCGCGGCACGGCGTGACGAATTACCTGAAGATGGCCACCATGTTCTTCAGCACGATCGACGGCGCGATCGGCAAGGCCGTGCTGGACGGCGTGCTGCCGGTGTTCAATCAGATCATCGCGCATCCCGAGTGGAGCCAGGACAACGCCACGCTGGAGGCGATGCACATGTGCGCGCAACGATCCCTGTCGGCCCTGCGGCAGCCGGAGATTGAGGCGCGACCGCTGCTGCCGATCCTGTCGACCTCCTACAAGATCTGGCCGCATCCGGCCGCGCTGGATCTGCTGAAGCAGCTCGTGCTTCTGTTCGGCAGAGATCCGGACAACATCGTGAGTCCGGTGCTCGCGGAGATGAGCTCGTTAACGTTGAACGGCGTGAAGGTGTGCCGGTCGGTGCAGGGCGACCTGTCCGAGTGGTCGGACCTGATGGAGGCTTACATGGGCGTGCTCACGCAGATCTGCAAGAAGAACGCCCGGTTGTTGCTGCAAATCCCGGATCAGATACCGGATATGCTGCAATGCGGTAAGCGCCAACGACATCGTATATATTTTCCTTCGAAATAGGAAAATGATCGTACAATGTAATTGCTTTTTTTTTTTTTTTTTTTTTTTTATATACAGGGATCGCTTGTCTAACGCTCCCAGAGACAGCCACGGCCAGAGCGGCGGGACATTTTCTTAGTCACGCGATCGTCCAGAGCCCGCATCTGCAGACGTTCATTCAACCGATCGGACAGGAACTCGTCGCCGCGATTTTACACTGCGTCGGTAAGCAGAGGTCCTCGCGATGACGGACGCGATCTTGCGAACGTGATGCCGTTATTCGATCGTCCATTTATTTTGTAATTTCTGCTAGGTGGAGCAGTGCCTCACAACAACTTGGAGCCTCACGCCGAGGTTCTGTTAGCGTTGAACAAAACGTGTCCGGAATGGACGGCGCAGTGGTTACGCGCCGGACTGGAGAATCAAAAGAACCTCGCCGCCGTGTTGCAGAAGGAGGACGTCACGCGCATTTTGCGCGAGAGGACGAACAGGGGGCGACTTTGCGACGCACTGAAGGAATTGAGTACCCAATGCCGTCAGAAGACGGGCATATGACAATAGAACTTTTCGTGTGATGCCGATTGACGAATTTTACTGTACGTGATCGATTTAAGAGAGATACATGTAACACAAACACACAGGGGTTGACATAATTTATCTCTTCATAATAAACGATGCATAATGTATATAATTGTGTTTTATACAGGTTTATGCATTTACTTATGGATTGTAAGATATTTCATCGATCGTGTGATAGAAGCGCTTAGTGTATCGAAGTACAGAAATGTGACGCAAAATAAATAGCGATAATAAAAAGAATATTTATAGTAAATATATATAGAAACAAAAAACTAAACTATATATATATATATACATATATTCAATTCCCGTTTGTGTTCGAAAGAATATGAAAGTATTAAAATACGAGTTATTTTTTAGTTCTTTAATTTTTTTGAAAATATGTGAAATTTTATCGAGTCGAACGAAATATATTGATTTTCATGAAGGCGACAATTAAAAAAAATAATGTAATAATAGTAATAATGGTTTAATAAAGGATCGTTTGGAAATGAAAAAGATACGCAAAACAAATCAGAAATAATGCACGAGAAGAGATTACGAGGTATATTTAGCAATTATACTGTGCTTTATTGTATAATAACATTGAAACATCTTGTTGAAAAGTTCATGTTTCCGTTTAATTTTGATTTTTGTTTCGCTGCTTTGCAGTACAGAAAAAAAGGAACGGAAAAGTTTATCGAAGATATAAGTTTTCTATTTACGGACTTAATCAATACGTATCATTTTTTTGTTTTCCTATGTCTTATAACATATATGTTTAATGTTGCCTCATTACAATGCCTATATGTAACTCCGACGAAGATGTTGTAAAATCAAAATCTGTCTTTTAAAAGGGATGCATAAAATCAATCTATTTTTCTGATAAAATGTCATACATATTAAAATATTTAAGAAAAAAAGAAAAACTGGCATGTCAAAATAATCTCAAAAAATAGTACAAACTAATGGCTGCACACAAGATATTCTCCAATGAAAACTAAAATATACCCCAAACAAAAAAAAAAGGAACATAAATGTCTACTAAAAACTTTCATGATTTAGTTCCGCTTTCATTTTTCGTGCATATATTACAATATAAGCACAATTATCTCCAAATTTATCTAAATAAATAATCTTATAAATTCCTTCTTATAATTGCAAAATAATCTATGTGATGATATATATCACAAAATCAGATAATAAAGTTATTTAATACAAGTTTGATGCCGATGCATCATGAATGTAAAAAATACAGAACAGTCATTTGAATTCAAAAATACGAAATAATCATTCTCACTTATATTTTTTACATTGTACGTGTTTGAGTTCAATGCATGTATATACACATTTGAAGAGTCTAGTGTATCATTACTTGCACGGACATGTGATATCGTATGTAAGTACGAGAAACGTTCGGGTGCGTCAAATATGAAGTCCTCGAAATAAAATATATATATATAATATACTGGCCCGTTGGAAATCTTCGGAAAAATCTGCTTGTTTTTTATTATAAAATGTAGAAAACGAACGACGGCGGGAAAGAGGATGGATCGGTATAATTATCTTGTATTTACATATAATTTGCAAAGATCTATCCCCACCCGAGAGACAAGAGCAGAGAGCTTTTCACTTGGGCGGTTCGCCGCCGTTCGACAAGGGTGGCGCGCCGAATTTCGCGGCGACCCGCGACTTCCTGGGCTTGGACGATTTCCCCGCGTGTTGCTGCTGCGACCCTGGCTGTTGCTGCGACGGCTCGCTCGAAGACGTCGTCTTCTCCCTGGCCTTATTTACAACTTCCGGCTTCTGTTTCTGCGCGCGAGGAAATCGACGGATTTCATTAATAAGCGTCGACAGAACGACAGAAAAAGAACCGGACTTAACTTTTATTTTAACGAACCTTAGGCGGCGTTTCCTCTTTTTTCGGTTGCTGCTGCTGTTGCGGATGTTGAGACGCTTTAGAAGGGCTCTTTTTAACATTCGGATTCATCTCCTTCGAGGCTTGTTGTTGTTGTTGTTGAGTGGCGTTTCTGCTCTTTTTCTGAGCTTGTAATGGAACGAACGCGGTACTGTTCTTAATCTCCATCTTCGGTCCGTTCTGAAAAATTTTCTGTGGTCCTTGATACTTCATTTGCTGCAGCTGCTGCTGCTGCCTACTCTGACTGTACGACGCTACTTGCACGAACGCCGGATTCGGTGGCAATTTTGGATACTTCGGGTAAAATAAGTTAGGCTGCATAGGCAGAGTCTGCGGGACTGGCGGTATTTTCATAGGGCCCATCGGAGGCATCATGGGAGGTCGGATATTTTGGATCCAATTATTCTGCTGAGCGTTAAACCACTGAGGTGCCATTACCATCGTTTTAGCATCGTGCGTCGGTGCCTTGTTCAGATTTAACAACTGACAAAGATAAATCGCTACATTAACAAGATAAAAAGGAACACGGAAACTTTTTGTACACTCGTCATTACCTTGTATGCTTTTTTCGCGGCGCTTTCCGCGGCCTGCTCGTGAGTGGCGTTAGGATCGCCCTTAAAAACCTTCCCATTGTCCAGCATGACTTGAGCGCTGATCAAGCCCGTTTTTTCGTCGGCCATGTAATTATATTTTGGTATACCGATTCCGTTGTACGAGGAATGTCTCAACAGTTGCGAACTATACCAGACAGGATTCGCCTTCTCCTTTTTCTGTTGTTCCGTTTGTCGGGCGCGCTAAAACAACGAATATGTATGTCTTTACGTAAAATCATTAAACAGTGTGCGAGCACGCGCGATGTAGAAGTGACAGAAATATAAATGCATACGTCGAACAACTGTTGCACCAACGGCGGAGGATTCGCGGTCTGATCCTTCTGCGGGACCGTCGCCTTTTGAGGCGCCGCCGCGGGTCGCGGCGCAGATTGTTTGTCCTCCTGCTTACTCGTTTGCGGATTCACGTCGGGAATCTTCAGCACAGCTTTCAAAAACGCGCTGGGATCTTGCGGCTGTAAAATAATACTTTTTTTATAAGTATCGAACGCGAGTGTCGTTTTTAAAAGTATATTCACCAGCACTTACCGATTGCACGCTGTGATTGTTGCTGAACGGCTTGACTTTCGTCACCGCTGGACTGGATGCCACCAATTTCTCCGGCGGTCCGTTCGGTTTCTATTGAACAGAGCAAGGGTCTGTAAGATCTCACGAAACGATCTCGTACCTCTCTGCGTATCGCCACACTCACCTGCATCTTGTGCAACTCGTTCCACAGCGCCTGGAACTCGGACGCTTGATTGGGCGGCGCGTTCTGAGGGGGATTCGGACAGGAGTACACCCTAGTGCACGGTATAGTTTTCGGGCTCAATTCCACCATGCTGTGTTGCGCCATACCCAGGCAAATGTCGCGATTCAGTTTCTCGAGTCCCTTCTTGGCGAGCTGCATCTGCGGATACGCCTTCGTCTGGTCGACCTTCCTGCTGGGAGAGGCGGAATTGGCCACCTGCTTCCGGCTCTCCGTCGTCTCGTTCGCCGGATTTCCCTGCTCCGTTCTTTCGCCGAAGCTGATATTCACGAAGTCCGTGGCCGCCACGCGATAACCGCGAAACGCGGAGCAGCCGTTTAACGTGAGTCCGCCTGCAATAAACGAGAAATGTCGGCGTTTATTTAGAAAAATTTGCGTGCGCTACGACGTCCGAAGTTCCGGAAAGCTCTGCGTGTTTCTCACCCATGAAAGGCTGATCGAACAGAACGTCGTACATGGTATCAATCGGATCGCTCCCCTTTCGTATTCCAATGATAGTGCCTTTAGCCCCGAGCGGCACGCTGAAGCCGCTTCTGACGCAGCGAATTCTATCGAACAGACGATTTTGGGAGTTCGGATCGGGCGGCACGCTACGCAGGTGTAGACCCGGCTTGTAGAGTAGCTGCGGCTTCACTTGCAGCAAGACCGTCTTCCCCGTCTCTTCGCTCTTAAAGTACTTCTCCACCTCCTCCTCGATCTGCTGTACCAAGTCCGCTTCGACGACGTCCATCCCGCAAGCGCGGCTCTCCATACCGTGCAGTTCCGCTTTCAGCCACTCGACTGTATCCTTCAGCTCGTCCGTTCTGTAATAATAACGTCCACGTTGCATTATCGTGTCACAATTTACATTATGTATACATTACGGCAGAAGAAAATACGCAACGTACCCCTTGTCGAATAGATCTTCCTCTTGGAAAATGTCGTTCGTTACATTCTGTGCCAAACGTTCGAACAACCTAGGACACTTTGTTACGTAATTCCGTATCAAATCGACCGCTTTTGTGCTGTACAACCATTGACTGTTCTCCTTTTTAGTATAACCAGGCACCTATAAAGATAAATATTTCGATAAATTAAAAACCGAGTAAATAAGTCGAAATGTGTGCGCACGTTCAGTTATATTTAGCAGTTTGAGTCAAATTTGCGCTCTCGTGTACATTTCTTACCTCTTCGTTCCTTTTATTGAACTTCAAGTTCAACCCAAGATTATGTTTAGTAAACTCCTCGTTTAACGTTTGTACAACGTAAATTGTCCCGGTGATCCTACTCAAAAGATGACTACTCATTCCAAGACGTTGCGCGGCGATGCTGCCGTGCATGTATCGCGTTTTCTGTTGCCCGTAGGCTTGCTTAATGGCATCGAACGTCGGCTCCTTCACGGATTTTATGGAAATTTTGATCCTGCGCGAATTGTCCTTGTTTTGTATAACCTGCAGATTCATAAAAATCGTCTTGAAACACGCCGTCTTGATTGAAATTTTAAACGTGACATAATTAAAATCATTAATTTTTTCCTAATTAGTGTGACGTAAGAAGAAATCCAACAGCGATTGTACCTCTCCCATCGCGCCGTAATAGGGATGTCCCAACATGAAGCAAAAGGTCCCCGGTATAAAAATTTCATGCATGCTTTCGTAGACTGGCAATTTCTTGCTGTAGACGGAGATATCCCTGATTACAGTCTGATAAGCGTAAGCCACGGGATAGTCGCTCCACTGTTTCTCCATCGTGACTTTCCCCTGCGAGCCGAAAACATATTTGCTACCCAGGGACGAGCGTGCGTAAAGCAGCAGATCCGTATCGCCAATATCTATCCCAAGGCGTGACGTGTGACTGGAAACAAACATTGCGCAATATTAAAAATCGCATTCTCAATATTATTCCGTTTCAAACGAGAGCGCAAATAATTTAATCTTACAATTCTTTGATTTGTTTGCATAGTGCGTTCCACTCCGAGGCCAACGCGTCCTTCACATCCTCTTTCTTCAGATTATCGTGACTGTAACCGCCCAACGGGTTGATCAAACTGAGTTTCACCTTATGGTCAGCCACGCCAACCACGAGGGACTCTTTCAAATGAGGCCATTCCGTGTGCACGCTCTTTCCTAACAGCTCCGATGCTAAAGTTGCCAAGTTCGGCGTCGATTTCGGTACTATAGTTAAAATCATACTCTCCAGGACTGAATGTTGTTGAAACACTTTGACCTAAACAGACATTTTGCGTAACAACTTTTCGAGATTCGAGATCGGTGTCGCAACTCCAACGATATGTACCCTCGCTTTCTCCAAATGCGCTGTATGATCCATGTGCCGTAGTATAGGAAATCCTGGATAATAAAGATCGAGTTCGAAACCCGGGGACAATCCCCTAATTAATTGCTCCCTCGGAACGAAAATGTCGTCGCGATTCATTAATTTTACTTCAGCGTGACTGACAAACTCCGGGAAGTATAGTGTTGCCTTGTGAACAATTGGACTCTCGTCGGTGTACGAAAACAGACACATCGGTCCGTGTCTGTTTCTCTTTTGTTCTTCCGATAATAGTCTCGATAAATGTGGTTGCATAGCTATCGCAGATAAACAGAAAAAAGCAGGAGAGAAATTTAAGCATGTTTTTAAAGAGAAATTTAAATTAAAATTATTAAAATTAAAATTATTTAAACGCTTATATTTTATCTCATACAACACGGATATTTTCAAGATTTAGAAAAAAAGAAGTATCGCTCACCAGACTTTAACCGTTTCTCATCAATGAATGGGATAAGTACGACCGCTTCCCACTCCTGTCGTTTTCCATTTAGATCAGTTTTAAAGTTATGCGGATAATAATCGATTATGGGAGAGGATTCCTCTGTCAATAGCGATTGAAATGCCTCCGGTAACAGTTCCTTGCTGAGCGCAGGTAACACAGCTAATAATTGTTGAAAAGGTAAGAACGGCTCCCCTAAATCGAATTCCAGCTTCAAATCCTTGAAGTCTTTTATATCCGAGATATACGGGGCGTAGTGATGTGGATAATACCACGACCAGCTGCAACAGCCGTGATAATAATAATGCAAATTCCACTGTATCGCTCTCACATAGCCTTCGGCTTGTGAACGTAAAACTTCTCTGGAAACAAAATGTATATACGTGAAGAAAATACTGGAAATATCACGCTTCGTATTAAAGATTATAAATATGCAAAATACTCACTCGTCGACATTTTCATACTCCAACTTGTTCATATAATAATATTTCTTATGTTGTACAAATTCCATGTTATATATATCACTATCCGACTCGTCGTCTATTATTAAATCCATGTCTCTATACTCTATAAAGATATCATCATCGTCGTCAAAATTACCTAAGGACTGTATTGCAAAGCATTAATTATCACTTATTTATCTCGATCTACAAGGGCGATTGCTGAAAGATATTTTAAATAAGTACCATCTCCGTAGTACTTTTAATAAGGGCATCTAAATCTTTGTTTTGCGTTTTCTTCGGTGACGCGGTCTCGCTGTCCTCCGACTTCTTATATACATGACGCTCAGATTCATTGGGCCTTCTACCGGTTTTACTTTCGAAAAATTTTATATCGGCATACTGCTCGTTAAACTGCTCTAAGTCCAAACGACTAAGTTTCTCCATAAACTTTTCAAAACGGTCGAGCTTTAATGTTCCCGATTCATTTATGTAACCTGAAGCAAAATAATACATTTATTTAAATACAGAAGGATATAAATTTTCGCCACAAGACAATGGATAATTGTGAACGTACCGTCGAGCGTTGGTAATACTTCCATATATGCACGGTACAGAATTGGCAGTGCACCGTTGGCAATATGTAAATTTGGCAGGTGGGGAATAAAATCGTTTCCTACCAGAAAACCCATCAAGACCCAGTCGTCGATTATCTTCTCAATGTCGAATTGGAAGGACAGCTTGTCCTTGATCGGCGAGAACTCGTGCTCTATGTACTCGCGCAGGAGCGACAAGTGAAGGAGGCAGAACTTGGTCTCCTCGGGGGTGGTTTTCACTTGCTGCTTACCAAACTTGACCTCCTCTCTCAAAAGGGAGAAATTCGGCTCGTGCGAGCAGAGACCCAACATTATTAAATCGGCATCCAAACCGTATAAACAGTGCCTAGAGTTACAGTCGTAATCCTTGCTCGCCTTCATGTACCTTATGTAATCCATAATCTTATGCTCTCCCTCGCCAGGGACCTGAAAAAAAAAAAACAGATCCAGATTATATTCCACTGAATAACAAGCGTCTCCTGCGCCATTTTTCCAGAAAAAAAAGAGAGAACAAATTCTAGTTCTCTCTTATACGACTAAATCATCGGAAAAGATACCTCAGAACCGCTGAACAGTACTTTACATTTTTTCCACGCGTCATCGGTGGAAATCTTGTGTTCGACAAAACGTTTGATCTGCTCGCCCAATTTGGCCATAAAGAGCGTGCCCGGGGTTATGCAGTTCGAGTCGAATCTCTTCTCGCTGGGCAAGGGGATACCCTTGGCCCTGGCCTTGGCCTCCTGCACCTCGGCGTCCTTGGCCGCCCTGAAACGCCGACCCCTCTGCTGATTGATCTTGGCACGGGGCGCGACGCCGTCGATCGCCATGAAGAACATCTTCTGCGGGCGGATCATGTTGAACAGCACCTCCACATAGTGGAATATATTCTTAAAAATCATCTCCTCGGAGATGCGGAAGCAGACGTCGTCGTTCGGATGGGAGCATGTGTGTATAATACCGTTCATGTCCAAATATAAATAATCGAATTCCGGTATCTGAAAAGAATGGAAGAGAACAGGGAAACTGGTTAGAATCGTTTCACGGTTTCGTGGTTTCTGCACGAAGCTGTAAAAAAAAATCGCATATTTTTTTAAAGCATTTAAAAAAATGCAAATCTTGCATCTTGTTCGCGTGCAATGAGAAAAAAGGAAACGCAGAAGCGTGGCGAGGAAAAAAGGACCTCGTCGCTTCAGGATTTAAATTGTTTTTTTCCTTCTCCCCTCGTCTCCTTCTCTTTCTTTCTCGCTCTATCTCTCTCTTTCTCACACACAACACACACATACACATACACACCCCCCGTCAAATACCTGATGTTCCTTCACGACCTCGCTGAGACAGGGGTATCTCTCGCTTATGTATCTGAAGAATTTCGGCACGCCCATCGTGAGGCTTCTCGCTTCTTCGACGTCGAAATGAATGCGTTCTCCCCGGACTTAAGAGACTTCTGTGCCCGCAGCGAGCGCTTCGCGCGTAAGGTCGTTCTATCAAAATTAAAGGATTTCGCTCGCAAGCACGGTATATCAACTTTGCTACGGGTAAACGTTCGTCCGCGGGTCTGCCGTCCCGTGTAGACGGGAAGACGAGTGCGGAAATGCCGGAGCCGGAGCCCCGGGATGCTCACCAGTTCCTGAAGCGTCGTTTTCATGAAGCGTTGCTGATGATCGTCGGCAGGCAGAGGGAGAGCTTGCTTGGATTATTTGCAGGATAGTAGTTTGATTGGCCCGGGAACAGAGCCGGTTTCTTTTTTTCTACATGCGAGCAAACAGCCGCGTCGGAGGTATATATTAATTTGTCGAGCGATATTCGTACTATTTTTGTTAACAATTCATTTATTAATAATTAGTAATTAATGGGACAATTAATTGACATGAAATAATTAATTCTTTTTTTATTGTTTAATTAAAGAGAGAGAGATTAGGATAAGTGACGATGGATTTGCGCAGTTGAAAGTGTTTTATTATTCACGCGAGAGAACACTAACCGATTTATGTTGATCAATTATGATATTATCACCGATTTAAGTGATTTAACCTCGTTCGCGCCCCAGCGCCATCTCGGGAAGTGTCGCGGCACTCGGTAATCCACGGAGCGGTGATTCGAAACGCGCGCGGATGGTAAAAATGCATGTATATTATATCTCGGCGTTTCTCCACCGCGACACACGCACTTTAACTATAGCGCATTAATTAAACATTTTAATTGTTACCACACAGTGCAGCAAAAGTGTTAGCCGTCCTGGCCTCTCGTTTTCTTTCTACCCGACGCGAACTTCACGCAAGCTTCATGAGTATGTAAGCGAGCATAAACAATCTTATTATATAATTATCATTTTATCGAATAATTAACCTTAACGTCGCCGCGGTGATGCACTGCAGTGTTCCGAAATCTTAAAAAAGTGACCATAAATCACATTTTTATTATATTTAATTTATTGCACTTTAGAAGTAACTGTATTACTTGAAACTGTTTTGATTTTTATCCGTATTTCACTCGCTTAGCTTTTTTACTTCTTTTTTTAACAACTTTATATATAATAGTATTTTGCGTACGAGAAAGTATTTGTTTAGGCCTATAGTTAGTGCTTTATATGTAACATATATATTAGTACTTATTTTTAACTAAATAATATATTTTAGATAATTTGAAACAACATATTAAAAAAAATTATAATAAATTCTAAAATAAAATTCTCGTATCTTTGTAATCGCTGGATATCGCTCGTTCTACTTTTGCGTGAGGACTAATAGATATAATATCTTTGATTTGACAAACGAGATCGGAAGAGCACA